CCTGTCCCATTTAGCACAGTACTAGTGCCACGCAACAGGATACAGTGTATCCTCAAAGTAAAGATGGGACTTCTCCTACCCGGTTTCTCATTTTTCCTGCCCCTGCTCAAATGGCTTCTTGTACCACAACACCATAGTCAGTTCACTCATCCACCATGCAGCTCCCACTCTCATCTACATGAGCTCAAAAGAACTCAAACTATTTGGACAACTGCAAGCGCTGAGGCTCTGGAACCCTTGCTTTCTTGATTCCAATACCTGTCTCACTTCTAGTCACAACCAGGACTCAACCAGTGGGAAAATCAAGGGTCAGCCTTCTGAAACAAAACATCCAGATAACTTTCATGTCTGTAACTTCACCTTCAAAACAATCTTTTCCTGTTAAATTGGTTATCATGTTCTGTAACTATTAAGAGCTATAAAGAGGTGTTTTTAATCAATGTGTTCGGACATGTTACAACACATCTCCAGAACAGTTGGGACTTGAATCCAGGTCCCCTGGTTCTTGGGTAGGGACACTACCACTATAAGACAAGGGCCCTTCACCTCCAGCTGACAGCTTGGATCTGAAGTTGCTTCAGCTGCAGACACGAACTAGACATATTTACTGTGGATCTCGCTGATCCACGAACACTCACATATTGCAGATGCAACACATCATCTGTTGTCTCACCAGTGTGTTTTAATGAAGCAATTATGTTCCTAAATTTGAAATAAATTTAATGCCATTCTTCATTTCCATTTACTGTGCTAATTAAACCTTAGTAATGCCCTTTCCATTTAAAGTAGAACAGTAGATTCACAAGTGTGTTACTTTCTTTCTACTGACTCACATTAATTATAAAAGGTAGCTATTTAAGTAGTAATTTCAAATTCCAGTTTTTCTAATTTCCAGCTATTTACAAAAACTGAAGAACAGTTCTGCACTAACTAATCAAGCAGTAGCAATTTTGTCTCAGAGTTGGAAGGCTGTGTGCATTCAAGTTTCATGCCAGAGAGCCAGGCACATAATTCAGGCTGACCTTTCAATACATAGTACTGTGGAAGGAGTGCAAAAACAATCAGCGCCTACATAGCAAAATGTTCCAAGCAAGTTTACACATATTATTAAACACAGCCTGCCAGTATCACATAGGAATCATTAGAACAAGATGTAAGGTAGGATTTAAGGAGCATCTTACTGGAAAAGCAATTAAGGGAAAGAATGTCAGAGTTTAGACTCTAAGCAACTGAGGGCACAGCTGCTCATGTTGAAACAAAGAAAGAAAATTAATTTTTTTTCCCACTTGCGATGTGGACATCACTGGTTCATTCCTAGTTGTTCTTGAGTTGGTGGTGAGCTGCCTTCTTGAACCACTGCAGTCCATTTAGTGTGGATAGACCCACAATGGTATTAGAGGATTAGTTCCAGGATTTTAAATGAGCGACCCTAAAGGAACAGTGATATATTTCCCAGTCAGGATGCTGAGTGGCTTGGAGAGGAACACAAAGAGTTATCTTGCCTCGTATCTGCCACCCAGGTCTTTTTAGATGGTTGCAGTTGTGGGTCTGGAAGATTGAGGAGTTTTGGTAAATTTCTGCAGTGTATCTCGTTGACGGTACACACTGCTGCTCTTGTACAGTGGTGGAGGAAGCAAATGTGCACATGGTGCCAATCAAACAGACTGCTTCATCCTGGGTGGTGTTGAACTTCTTTGGCGCTATTGGAGTTACACCCATCCAAGCAAGTGGGGAATATTTCATCACACTCCTGACTTGTGCCTGTAGGTGGCTGACAGGCTTTGCAGAGTCATGAATCGAGTTACACATTATAGGATTCATAAGCTTTGATCTGCTCATATAGCCACAGTACGTTTACAGCTATAAAAGTTGTTCCTGTTCAATAGTAATCCTAGGGTGTCAAATTCAGGATTCAGCAATGGCAATGCCATTGAATATCAAGGAGTGATGATTAAATTCATTTTTGTTGGGAGATGGTTATTGCCTGGCAATTGTGTGGCACAAATTATACTTTCTAATTATTAGCTTAAGCCTGGGTACAGTCCTGGTCTTCTGGCATTTGGACATGAACTACTTCAGTGTCTGAGGAGTCACAAATGGTGCTGAACATTGTGGAATTATCAGTGAACATCCCCACCTCTGACATCATGATCCACATCTAACAGCCACAGCTATCTACATATGTGCCAGGTAAGAATCTAACCAGCAGGTAGTTCTCCCCAATTCCCATGGACTCTAGTTTGGCTAAGGTCCTTGATATCACACAATCAAATGCAACATCAATGTCACAGGTTGTGTGACTCTCACCTCACCGCTGGAATTCAGTTCTTCTATGCTTGAACCAAGGTTGTAATGAGGTCAGTATGTACATAACATCAGAATGAGAGAAAAGCAGAAACAGTAGGTTGAGGTGCTGAAGGAGGTTAGGCATATGGAGAGACTAAACCTTGCAGAATTTGGAAACAAGGACTCAAGTATTAAATCCACGGTGTCTCCAGATTGCAAAACATTGTAAGTCAATGAGAATGCCATGCTTCCAGTACAATAATAAATAGGCTTCAAAGTAGTTCATTGGCTGAGTGTTTTGGGATGTCCAGATGTCATGAAAAGGAACATTTAAATGGATGTCTTTCATTTTGCCCATCCATTTGAAGGAATGCATTCTTCTTACTAAGACAGAACTAAAACTCGTGAACAGATTTTTTGAATTCCAGTGTAGCTCTGGTTGGCCAAGTTACAAATGAAATTTTAAGTCTTCCTGATGCAACAAAGACATAGAAGCCATTGTTCACACACTCCTTCCTCAACACAAAGACCATAGTGGGGGACAGCAAAGATTGCTTCACTTTCTCTACTGAGTTAATGGATGTATCAGGAAATTGCTAATTGCAAAAATTCCAATTTTCATGCTATATGTCAGCATTCTGGCGATTTTACATGTATGATATGCATTCTATATGGGGTTGTCTAAGTAACAGAAGATTATTGGCCTGAAGAGCACAAATTTCTTCTATATGCTTTGTTTGAAAAGACTTCCCAAACCTTACTCGTGAGGCACCCAATAAGAATCAAAGAATACTTTAGGGAAAATGAACTGATGCTGAAGTTTTTAGGGCATCATACCTATCAGAACAAATGAAAAAATACGGCACTACTTAATTGCAACATTATGAAATTCTCATGTTTGTTCAGAATATAGGTTTTATCAGTCTGGGCTATGCTACAACAACAAAAAAAGGGTGTGGAACAAAGTATCCTTTGTAGTTATGGGCAGGATGTAGATAATTCTGTAAATTTGTTATTTCCTATCATATTAGCAATCACGCTGAAACCAATTAAGAATTCTTCAAATTATTGGTCAAATTAGTTTTACTTCCTTTCACAAAGGAGTTAGGCTAAGTTTAGGAATTGCAACTAAGTCTGATTTTGTATAACTTTATAACAAAGATGATCAATAACCCACCCAGATTTATATACAAAAATGTGATCAATACCAATGCAATCAGAATCACAAAGTCAAAGACAAAAGACAAAAGACAAACAATCAGCTTTGACAACAGGAGCTAGGTCTTAAAAAGTTTAAGAACTATGCATGGAATGTTGTTTTTTCTGGCTGGAGGTCTGTGACCAGCAGTGTGCCACAAGGATTGGTGCTGGGCCCACTGCTTTTCATCACATATATAAATGATTTGCATGTGAATATAAGAGGTATAGTTAATAGTTGCAGATGACACCAAAATTGGTGTTGTAGTGGACAGCGAAGGTGGTTACCTCAGAGTAACAGGATCTTGATCAGATGGGTCGAGGAGTGGCAGATGGAGTTTAATTTAGATAAATATGAGGTGTTGCATTTTGGTAAGGCAAATCAAGGCAGAACTAATACACTTAATGGTAGAGCCCTGATTAGTGTTGCCAAACAAAGAGACCTAGGGGTGCAGGTGCATAGTTCTTTGAAAGTGGAGTCACAAGGAGACAGAACGGTGAAAGTGGTGTTTGGTATGCTTGCCTTTGGTTGTCAATGCATTGAGTATAGGAGCTGGAATGTCATGTTGCGGCTGTACAGGACATTGATGAGGCCACTTTTGGAATACTGTGTTCAATTCTGGTCTCGCTGCTTTAGGACAGATGTTGTTAAACCTGAAAGGGTTCAGAAAAGATAAACAAGGATGTTGCCAGGATTGGAGAGTTTGAGCTATAGGGTATAGCTAAGTCTTTTTTCCGCTGGAGCATCGGAGACCTTATAGAGGTTTATAAAATCATGAGGGGCATGGGTACTGTTAACAGCCGAGGTCTTTTTCCCAGGGTAGGAGGTCCAAAACTAGAGGGCATATGTTTAAGATGAGAGGTGAAAGATTTAAAAGGGAGCCGAGTGGCAACTTTTTTTACACAGAGGGTGGTGCGTGTATGGAATGATCTGCCAGAGAAAGTGGAGGAGGCGGGTACAATTACAACATTCAATAGGCATCTGAATGGGTACATGAATGGGCAGAGTTTAGAGGGATACAGGCCAAATGTTGGCAAATGGGACCACACTAATTTTGAATATCTGGTCGGCGTGGATGAGTTGGACTGAAGGGTCACCGTCTCCATGCTATATATCTCTATGACTTTATACTTGCAAAAGCAAAATAAAAAATTATCCCTCCAAAATATAACTGCAGTTTTTATTCAGCTTTACAACATCAACAAAATATTATGGGTGAAATTGTAAAACATTGAATACTAGTACAGGCTCAGTAACAGTCCTAGCAACAGCGCAAATATTATTTTGACATTATAATTTGGCAAGGTTTGACAATATAAAGGTCATCTTGTGTAGAGGAATTCAACATCAAATTGTATGTAACTCTATTGTATTAAATTCAACCATGCCCAGCATTCCTGCTTTCTTCTGCAAATGTTTCAATCTGTGTAGAAACAATAATACTACTGTGCACAGAAACCATTTGTTCTTTTGCTGTGTTCCATTTACTCCCTAGAAAATTAAGCTAAAAACTTACCCTACTCTCTTCTAGGCTGTCAAAGGGGCCCGGTGGATCATCCAGACATAAAAACTCTCTCACTGAAGTGCTGAAACAATGAAATTATTTTAGTAGAGAAGGTTGATCTGCAACAAAATCAATTTCCAACAAGATCCATAAACATTAAATTCACACAATGACCATGTGCATGAGCAAAAGTGGTAAAAAAAAACATGGTAGTCAATATTTCTTTAAGAGGAATGGTAACCTCAAATGAATGCTCTGGGCTCAAGTTCTCTCATGATCTTATCTTAAATGTTGTTTTGTCACCAATTACTATTCATTTATATTTTTTCTCCACTCTGCCTTTCAAATCCCCCATTTCTACCTCACACATCCTCTGTTTCAATTAAACTAACATTCTCTACATTGATGCTTTCTCAGCAACAATTCTCATTCCCAAGTTCATCTATTTCCCTAGTTTATGCCTAGCCATCAAGAACACAAGAAATACAATTTAAAATTTAAGCTTGCTTAGAATAACACACAGGCAAAAAAGTTAAGAAATCTCAGATAAGTATATGTACTTAAAATGGTATTAATAACTTAGTGCAAGCTAATTTACTGTTTGAAATCTTTCCATATCCATAACCTCATCAATATATCTGCTCTCTAGTCATTTCCTTGGAGGGCAAGCATAATGATATTCTCTTATGATGGCTGGTGTTTGGGCCATGATCCACATAAAGACTGGAATGTAGCAACCAAAGGACAATCTAAGAAAACCAACTCACTTGTTTCTACCTGCTTTGCACTCTGATCTGGGGATGAATGCAAGTGAGAAAAGCAATAAAGGGTATGTTGAAGATTATGCTGGGGGCAAGGGATGGAAGACTTCTATAGTGTTTCTCGGACAAAAATTTATTTTTCTGTCAGCACTGGTATCATGTTAATATTCGCTGCAGCACGAGCCTGCTGGAGGAACAAGTAGGGATATCACAGGGAATCCATGATAAAGATCTGTATGATCATGGATAACAGAATAAACTGCCAAAGCAGAAGCAATACAAAAATTGCATGGTATTCCGATATGCAAAACTACTGGAAAACAACTTCCTTCTGTATGTAATCTCCATAATTAATAATGGAAACCCAGTGTTTCTTTTCGAAAGACCAAAAGGAATGGCTCATTAACTGTAGGTGAGATTTTTGTTCAATTCAGCATTCACTGTGATCTTGGAGTTTTGAACACATCTGCAATAAAGAGGCTTCTTTGTCCAACAGATTCTGTTGCAGAGAGCAAGGCTTTTGATTTCAGCCTCATGAGGTTAATTCTGATGCTTGACTGCTAATAACTGGACTTTAGTTCCTTTGTCTTATAGAGGTAGTTTGAATATGCCAATTTGTTTTCTGTGCTTTCTAGCTCATTCCTGTATCTATATTTATCCAACCTTCCTCTCCAGGGGCTCAACTATCCGAACGTGTATGCTTGGGCCACAGAAAACCCTAGCTCCCTCTTGGCTGTCTGATGGATTATCCTTGCAGCCTCCAGCTGCCATTTATGAAGAGCAACAATTTCTACATAAATAAATATTAACATGCATCTCTTTGAGCTTAGGAATCTCTACCACTCTGGAAAATTCATTCCTTACTTTAATTTGTTGTACTCCTTGGTTGGGCCTTTGCTGGGGATTGAAAGTTTGCTCTAGACAGGATATGCTCATATTGATTTCTTCTGTGCATAATATCAAGGATCTGTAGAAGTTTCTGAAGCTTCACTTGCTGTTGTTAATGATTAAATAAGTGCAATGTTACTTTCTTGCTTCCAAGCAGAGATCTAGCTACCTGGTCTGGGAGGAATTTCACCTGACTGCAGTTACTGCATCTTCTGGGTAGGTTCTTTCCAGTAACTGAATAACTTTTTTTTTTAATATATGCTTCACAAAAAGACTGATACCCTTTGAAAGAAACAGAACAATGTCCCTTAAATCCATGGAAATTTTGAATCCGAGTAAATTAATGACTCGCATGCCAGTTTCTGCCGCTAACAATGTTCTGAAGGAGCAAACTATATCTGGAATGCTCTGGTGGCTGGCCATCACCCTCTTTTTACTGCTTTATCCAGTTTGTTGGGAAAAATTGAGATTCTGTTCTGGCAATACTAATACTGAAGGTCTTCAGTGTATGCTAACCACAGAATTTCTAAAGCTATTCAAGCTTCTCTGCTTCATAAACAAGCATAATTATTAAGAATTACTTACAAGGTTTTCATAATCTTATCCTTATTGTAGTGAAGTGCACTGTGCATTTGGCATCGTACTCCAGTTCAAGTACTTACCAAGCCCCCAAAATTTAATAGAATATCGACAGAGGATTCCTGACTATAACCATCGTCCATCACTCAGAAGGATTGATGCATATACTTCAGCATCCAATTTAAAGCTAGTTTCTCTGTCCTTGTCTTTCATTGGTGCCTAATAAATTTTGCCCTGCGGGCTTATCCTATCAATAAAGTTGAATTATTTTTTGGCATGATGCAGGCCACAGGAAATGTTCACCCTGCCACTCCACATCCCCTACTGCTGGGACGCCTGCAGACTGCAGTGGTTAGTGTTTAATTTTTGGTGCTACTGCTAAAATCTTAGCTGGTGTCTCCCTTTGTACTTGCAACTCTCCATAAAACTGACCGAGTTGCGTTCCTTCCAGTAGAATTCTTTTGTGACTCAAATTGTATCCTGTTTCTTCATGCAACTAGCATCAGCATATTTTCAGAATGCTTGTTTTTTTCCCCAACTCAAAGTAGTTTTGTTTCTGTAATACTTTACTTACTGTGGCAAATTGATTTCTCCTTGTAGCTCTGCATGGGACTTCCGTAATTTCAGTTTCTGCGCGGGCTTTCCTATTCTACTGACATCAGTGTGCCTTAAAGTCTGTCATTTGCCAAACCCTACTTCTGCTAAGCTTCATTTTAAGTATTTTCACCATGCCTCTGTTTAGACTGCTGGCCTGGTCTTGTGATTTATTGTCATTAGTCTTCACTTCAGGCTCATACTACCTCCCATTAGTTCCATGGTTCTGGTTTCTGTTGACATCACGTACTAATGGGAGATCGACAGTACTGAGTGAACAGTAAAAGGCTTTACTGAATGTAGCCCTATAAACAGGATTGTTAGAGAGGCCAACTTACTCAGATTTCTACAAACCCAGGGTCTGGTTCCATATGATCAAGAGTCTCTACAGCATAGTTCCCTCTACTGTGTACTGAGCACATGCAAAAGGTTCAATTCCCTTTACTCTAAAGTCAGAGCTGAAAGAAAGGGTCTCAATTTTGTTACAACAAATAAAAATGCTAGTACTCAACAAAAAGTAGCTAAACTAAAATCAAACAAGTTTGTCACTGTTAAAATGTGAAACAAATACTTTGTGATCCAAACAGCACTGACAATGAATTTAAACATGCCTACGTTTATTCTACGCTCCAATATGAAAAGTAGAACTAATTCTTGTGTTTAATCACTGCTGCTTTCAAGGGGCTAACTATTCAGCTTAGTTAGTATCTTGACTTAAGGGCAACAGTGCTTCCTCCAAAACCCAGATGAGTCTGTAGAACATTCTTGAAACCCTCTTATAAAAGAATGGCCCTAAAAGAAACCAATTTAGTTCAATAAAATGGGGCTTGAAACCATTAGAGACAAGGTGAAAGAATTTAATCTGACTACTCAGTAAACTTTTAAAAAGCCCAAAACTGAACATATCAATCATAGCGAATTAAAAACAAATGTACCAGAGTTGAAAATTTCTTCTGTTAATAAATGTAGTCTTAAATGAGCCTTATATTCGCACCTGAATTCATGCAGCATTATTGTTCAAGCAGCTTATGTTAATATTGAGACAGTGGGATAGGAAAGAAGATATCACCAAAATCAAAAAATCATCATGTTTGATTATTCAGTTTAACAGATAGGGCGGAATAAAAGATACAAGTTTCAACTAAGTAGGAGCAGAAATAGATTGGATTCCTCTTCTAGAAATTGAACACAGAATGTTTTTATGGCTTGGATTTCTTGTTAATTCATTTGTGGGATGTGGGCGTCTCTAGCTGAGGAGCATTTATTGCCTGTTCCTAGTTGCCCTTCAGAAGGTGGTGGTGAGCTGTTTTCTTGAATCGCTGCAGTACACCTGCTGTGGGTTGACCCACAATGCAATTAGGAAGGGAATTCCAGGATTTTGACCCAGTAAGACTGAAGGGACAGCGATATATTTTCAAATCAGGATGGTGAGTGGCTTGGACGGGAACTTGCAGGTGGTGGTGTTCCCATGTATTTGCTGCCCTTGTCCTTTTAAAAGGAAGTGGTCATGGATTTGGAAGGTGCTGTCTGAGGATCTTTGGTGAATTCCTGAAGCACATCTTGTCAATAGTACACACTGCTGCTACTAAGCTTCGCTGGTGGAGGGAGTGGCTGCTTGTGGGTGTAGTGCCAATTAAGCAGGGCTGCTTTGTCCTGGATGGTATCAAGCTTCTTGAGTTTTGTTGGAGCTGCACTCATCCAGGCAAATTGTGAGTATTCTATCACATTCCTGACTTGTACCTCCTAGATGATGGACAGGCTTTGGGGAGTCAGGAGTTGAGTTACTTGCCACAGTATTCCCAGTCTCTGACCTGCTCTTGTAGCCACTATGTTTGTGGGGAGTCCAGTTGGGTTTCTGGTCAATGGTAACCCCCAGGATGATGATGATGATAGTAGGGGATTCAGTAATGGTAACACTGCTGAATATCAAGGGGTCACGGTTAGCTTGATTCTTATTGGTGATGGTGATTGTCTGGCATTTGTGACTCGAATGTTGCTTGCCACTTTTCAGCCCAAGCCTGGATATTGTCCAGATCTTGGTGCATTTGAACATGGGCTGCTTCATCATCTGAGGAGCCACAAATTGATTGCACAATGTTCAGCACATCGGTGAACATCCCTACTTCTGACCTTGTGATGAAGGGAAGGTCATTGAAGCAGCAGCTGAAGATGGTTGGGTCTAGGACACCACCCCGAGGAACTTGTGCAGAGATGTTCTGGAGCTAAGAAGACTGACCTCCAACAGCCAAGACCATCTTCGTATGTGTCAGGTATGACTCCAACCAGTGGAGAGTTTGCACCAATAATCACTGATTCCAGTTCTGTCAGGGTTCCTTGATGTCACACGTGGTAGAACGCAGCCTTGTTGTGAAGGGCAGTCACTCTCTCCCCTCAAATCAGCTCTTTTGTCCATGTTTGAACCAAAGCTATAATGAGGTCAGGAGTTGAGTGGCCCTGGTGGAAACCAACCTGGGTGTCACTGAGCAGATTGTTGCTGAGCAGGTACTGCTTTATAGCACTTTTGATCAATTTACTGAACAATTTACTTTCCATCAATTTACTGATGATCAAGAGTAGACTGATGATGCAATATTTGGCTGGGTAAGATTTGTCCTGCTTTTTATGTACAGGATACAACTGGGCAATTTTCAACATTGTTGGGTAGATACCAGTATTGGAGCAGCTTGGCTAGAGGAGCAGCAAGTTCTGCACCACAAGTCTTCAGTGCAATTGCTGGAATGTTGTCAGGGTCCACAGCCTTTGCAGAATGCAGTGCCTCCAACTATTTATTAAAGTTACTGACCCTCTGCATGATTTCAAGACAGATCAGAGATTAGGTTATAAAGGCAGGTAAGTGTCTTTTGTTCCTCACTATCTCCTGAGTTTGATCAGCTGAAGGAATCAGAGAAATAGTTTGCGATTTTTCTTCCTCTATTTGTTTTTGAATGCCCATGCATGATATAGCTGCAGAAACGAGGAGTTTGGCCATGATAGTCCAGACAATGTGGTGTAGTGCAAGCTGGTCTTTCTCTGTCTGTCACATGCACGTTGGTGTATTTGCATTTCCAAGTGTCTCTGGGCTATAACTTTGAAGAGACAGAATTAGTTAGATGTTGTAGAACTACCTGCTAAAGCTGGTCTCTCTCTGCTCTTTTGTTTTACTGCTCTCAACTGTCATATCCTTCCTGATGATGGTTATTTGAAACAATTTAATATTATTGCAGAAATAGCAGGATAGCAGATCAGGTTTTTAAAAAATGGATAGGATTCTGCAATTGGACATTTGTTGCATAGTCCCGAACATGCAAAGAAATTTGCTGACAGGTTCAGTCAGGTTCACAATATGGTGCACTTGCATGTATTGGATGCTCTTTGCAGACTGGAAGAGCGTATACACATACAGCACCTATTTCAACTCAACAAAACAGGCCATTCACTAAACAAACCAAACCATTCACTAGTTCATTTATCAGGACAATGCCTTGTCTAAATCAAGCTAACTTACATGGTTTAAAATTTAAATAAAACTTGGCTGTTAACTGTCAATAATTCATTGGTGTATCCTCCATGGTGATGCCTCTACCATAGCCCACTTGTCAACCAATCTGCACTTTCCTCTCATGCAGTGGAAGTGTTGTTATTCCCATTAAATAGATATTCTTGCGAGATCTCCTTGTGAGTGCAAGATCAAAAACTTTAAACAAAATGTCTTTTTTAAAAATTAACAGAAGTTCTATCAGGTCAAACAGCTGAAGAATATTAAGTTGAACAGCAAACAAGCTGAAATACTCCTTTTGCCCAATCACTGCTCTGTGAAGAATGGGACTATTTGCTTTAACAGAGCTGTGTCGATGTACAATGATCCAGACTATTGCTATAAAAATAGATTTGCAATTCCTTGGTACCTTTCACAAACTCTGGATGCTCAGCTCTTACTATCAATGCTTTTATGGTGTAGTCATAGCTACAATGTTGCAAAAGCTATGCACATTAGGCATGATGTATACAAAGATTACGCTACCTGTTAGCAATATCTTTATGCGCTACAAGGTTGTGCAAAAATGCTTGCAGTCCTAGTTGTCTGTCTTCTAGAAAGTTAGGATCATAATTATCCTTGAACCAACGCTTGGGAGGAAGTGCAAGACGAAAACCAGGAAACATCTCCTTCAGCTGGAAGAAAATTGAAGAGTTTTTTTTTGTTTTATTGATTAAATGAAATTTCTTACTGGCAATATGTCCTTAGAGTGGCCTGAACAAATTTCTTACTCATATTAGATCGACACTGAGTCAAAAATCTGCATCCATCCATGCAAAAATTGACAGTCTAAAAATAAAGGCAATTTAAAGAAAATTAAAATCTGGACACACTGCAATGTACCTGAAGTATAAACTCTATTTTCCTTGTACGCAAGATGAACTACTGATTTATAGAATTAGATTATCTGTTTATAAGTAGACAATCTCTGGAAAGGGATAACTTTATTTTAATGAATGAAACTAATTACAAAAAATTTCTACCACAGTGATATGGTCAAATTGAAAGTTTTGGCTTAAAGCAATGAAACCTTATAATAATACTGTAGAACTTAGCATTACAATTCAATCTTTATATAACTTAAGTTTATTAACATTAAAAAGTTAAATTACCTACCAAATTACAGCAGCTAATCAGGTCATATCACTTAATAAAAACATAGCAAATTCATGTTGAAAAGGAGCCATTTTCAAGAAAAAATTATTTCCTATATTCTATTTGACCAGAGCACCAAAAAAATTTAAAGAGTTTAAGAATATCATTTGATTTTTCAAAACATTTGTTTGCAGGGTACAGACAATGCTGACAAGGCCACAGGTATTGACCATCTCAATTACCAAAACTTGGGATAAATACACAGTCTATTTTGATACCATGCACTTATTGCGTGTTATCTGAAATACGAACTCTGCATTACCAGCTTTCTTGTTCAGTTCCACGTTAAACACTTTCCTCTGACTGTTTCCTCATCTCTGGGGCTTTTAAATGTTAATTCATTCAATAGAGTAATAAGTGTGTGAAGAGTTATGTTCATCGGAATAAAAAACTTCAACATAATTTTACATGAAGCTACCTCACAATTCTAACACTAGCAATTCAAGATCTCAACGTGCAACCGATATTCAATATCTACCTTACAATATGTTTTCTAAATAGTTGTAAAACAATTTCTCTGTAAAAACACAACTTTCTGAAAGCAACATCAATCTAAATACAGAACTGATTGCAGGAAGACTGGAATGAAAGAAATCATTTAAGTTAAGGAATGTGCTGGCTGCAATACAGTCCTGGATTACAGAGATGCTTCTGCATTCACGACATACCCTGGAGTCAACTGCAAATTCTTTAACATACAGTCCCCTGCTGAGCAGTTCACAGGGACAAACTGCAATCCCGATTTGAGAGTGGCAGTGCTGAATGAGATTAATTGCACATTCCACGTTCCAAACAGCCCTTGCTGTGACAGAGGTCCCACAATGTGTTAGATAGGAAATTTCAGGATGCTTAACTACTAATTACATTGTAACATCTACGTCAGATCTCTGTGCAAATTGAAGGTGGCAATGATCCAATGACATTGCTGCTCTGGTCCTTGATGATTGAAGGTACAGAAAAGGGAAGTATGTATGTTTTGTTGCAATGGCTATGTGTACATTCAATCTACACAATGCAATGTGCAGTGATACCAATCAAATAAGCAGTACAATCTTGAATAACACTTGAGTCTATTAAATGTTATGGCCAAACACATACAATTTAGAAGCAATTATACCATTACTCATGACATGAGCCCTTTAGATGTCCAACGGGCTTAGAAGTAGCAATTGCTAAGCCAAGTATCAGAGCAAATCAACACTACCACACTATCAAAGATAACAAGGTGTAGAGCTGGATGAACACAGCAGGCCAAACAGCATCAGAGGAGCAGGAAAGCTGACGTTTCGGGTCTGGACCCTTCTTCAGAAATGGGGGAGGGGAAGGGGATTCTGAAATAAAGAGAGAGGGAGGGGGAGGCAGATAGAAGATGGATGAAGGAGCAGATAGGTGGAGAGGAGACAGACAGGTCAAGGAGGCAGGGATGGAGCCAGTGAGGGTGACTGCAGGTGGAAAGTTAGGGTGGGGATATGTCAGTCCAGGGAGGACGGACAGGTCAAGGAGGCAGGGATGAGGCTGGTAGGTAGGAGGTGGGGGTGGAGCTTGAGGTGGGAGGAGTGGATAGGTGGGAGGAAGGACGGACAGGTTAGGGAGGCAGGGACGAGCTGGGCTGGTTTTGGGATGCAGTTGAGGGAGGGGAGATTTTGATGCTTGTGAAGTCCACTTTGATACCATTGGGCTGCAAGGTTCCCAAGCGAAATATGAGATGCTGTTCCTGCAACCTTTGGGTGGCATCGCTGTGGCACTGGAGGAGGCCCAGGATGGACATGTCGTCCAAGGAGTGGGAGGGGGAGTTGAAATGGTTGGCGACTGGGAGGTGCAGTCGTTTGTCGCGAACTGAGCATAGATGTTCCACAAAGTGGTCCCCAAGCCACCGCTTGGTTTCCCCGATGTTTGATGTGGAAGGTCTTCTTGGGGCCTGGGATGGGGGTGAGGTGTAGCACTTCCTGCGGTTGCAGGGAAAAGTGCCGGGGGGGTGGGGCTGGTGCTGAGCGTGGAGCGGACAAGGGAGTCACAGAGAGAATGGTCCCTCTGGAAGGCAGATAAGGGTGAGGAGGGAAAAATATCTTTGGTAGTGGGGTCAGATTGCAGATGGCGGAAGTGCCGGAGGATGATGCGTTGGATCCGGAGGTTGTTGGGTTGGTACGCGAGGACGAGGGGGATTCTGTTTTGGTTGTTATTGCGGGGAGGGGTTGTGAGGGATGAGTTGCTGCTGAGGAGAAGTTGCGGTCCTTGAAAAATGAGAACACCTGGGATGTCCGGGAGTGGAATGCCTCATCTTGGGAGCAGATGTGGCGGAGGCGAAGGAATTGGGAATAGGGGATGACATTTTTGCAGGAAGGTGGGGGAGAGGAGGTGTATTCTAGGTAGCTGTGGGAGTCGGTAGGCTTGAAATGGATATCGGTTTCCAGGTGGTTGCCAGAGATCGAAATAGAGGGGTCCAGGAAGGAGAGAGGGGTATCGGAGATGGTCCAGGTGAACTTAAGGTTGGGGTGGAAGGTGTTAGTGAAGTGGATGAACTGTTCGAGCTCCGCGTGGGAGCACGAGGCAGCGCCGATACAGTCATCAATGTAACGGAGGAAGAGGTGGGTGATACGGCCAGTGTAGCTTCGGAAGAGGGATTGTTCCACGTATCCTACGAAGAGGCAGGCATAGCTTGAGCCCATGCGGGTACCCATGGCCTTCCCCTTTGTCTGTAGGAAGTGGGGGGAATTGAAAAAGAAGTTGTTAAGGGTGAGGACGAGTTCAGCCAAGCGGATGAGGGTATCAGTGGAGGGGGACTGGTCGGGCCTGCGGAACAGGAAGAAGCAGAGGGCCTTTATGCCATCTGCACGGGGAATGCAAGTAAAGTGACTGGACGTCCATGGTAAAGATGAGGTGTTGGGGACCAGGGAATCGGAAGTGGAGATAAGTTCAGTGCGGCAGGAGCAGGTGAAGACAATGGGTCGACCAGGGCAGTCAGGTTTGTGGATTTTGGGAAGGAGATAAAAACGGGCGGTGCGGGGTTGGGGAATGATGAGGTTGGAGGCTGTGGGTGGGAGGTCACCTGAAGCGATGAGGTTGTCGATGGTTTGGGAGATGATATTTTGGTGGTCGGAGATGGAGTCATGATCAAAGGGGCGGTAGGAGGAGGTGTCAGAGAGCCGGTGTCTGGCTTGGCGATGTAGAGGTCAGCGCGCCATACTACAACTGCACCTCCCTTGTCCGCGGGTTTTATAGTGAGGTTTGGGTTGGAGCGGAGGGAGTGGAGGGCTGCACGTTCTGTGGGGGAGAGGTTGGAGTGGGTGAGAGGGGTGGAGAGGTTGAGGCGATTGATGTCTCGATGGCAGTTAGAGATGAAGAGGTCAAGGGAGGGTAGGAAGCCTTGGGGTGGTGTCCAGGAGGAGGGGGTGTGTTGGAGGTGGGAGAAGGGGTCAGTAGAGGGAGGGTTAGGCTCACGATTAAAGTAGTAAGCGCGGAGGCAGAGGCAGCGGAGAAACTGTTCAACGTCCAAGCGTGAGCGGTATTTGTTGATGTTAGGGTGGAGGGGGATAAAAGGTGAGACCACATTATCAAGTTGTGAATGGGGCATAGCAGAATCAATAAACAGCGTACTCTATTAATTTTCAGCACATGGAAGATTTTGTGCTAAGGATGCAGAAGTCCCTTTAAAATGCAATGACCCGAGGTGTGATAGTTCTCAAAGCCACAATCATCATCTTTTGGAGCAATTATGATTCCAGTTAGTGCATTGCTTTTTCTAAAAATGATATTCACTGACCTAAGTTTCACTAAGAATCCTAAATGACACATTCTGTTGAAAGTTAGTTGGCTGTCAAAGGAACCAATTCTTCTTTCCCTTCTCCTTTGATAGTCACCTTCCATCGAGAGGAGCAATCCTTTCTACTTGAAAGTATGTAAAAAATATATTTATCCTTTCCTATCTTAAGATTAAAAACTTGTTTCAATCCAAATTTCAATTCTCACATCACCAAACTCAGCACAGCAAGGGACCAGATGTAGGGCAAAATGTGCCAATTTAGCACCAAAATGCTAAAATATCTGTATGGCTCAGTCATTTACGAGACAGTGCATCTAGTGAGTTAATGATATTAGAATCTTTCATTTGTTGGTGCAGCAATTTTAGGATTTTTCTTTGACATATGACCCCATGGATTTAACTTATCATCTTTCAGTTAGAGTAGAATAAATCCCTTTTAGATGAGAAATACAAATTTGAACTTGCGTACAGACAAACATAGAAGTTAAGAGCAGGAATGTCACTTGGTCCCTTAAGCCTGCTCTGCCTTTCACTATCATCATGGCTGATGATTACTCCACATTTTTGCCACCTCCAATAACTTTTCCTCCCCACCCAAAGCCTTGCTAATCAAGAATCTAACAATGCCTTAAAAGTATTCATTGCCTAGGAAAAGGGTTGCAAAGATCTCTGTGAAAAAAGAATTTGAGAATAAGTACAGAAGCATAAGAATTTTCTCTTCATTTTACACTAAATCTGAAATGGCAATATTATGTAAATGTATAGTGATACTTCAAAATCATTTTTCTATTACTCTCGCTACTTGATGAATAGAAAATGACAAACCTTGTCATTCAGCCGTGAAAAATCTGTATATCTCCGAAATACCACCCAGTTCTCATCGAGATGATTTTTCACAAGTATCTTGTAAACCTATGATTAATAAAACATAGTAGTAAGAAAACAAAACTGTAACCACACTAAATTTTAAAAAAATTAAAACAAACTACAAATAGAACTTCACTTCCAAAAAGAATACTTTTTCAATCTCGTATGCTTTGTTAATATGGAGCATACATCTTCCATTTCACTATTTCCTCACTGCCTCAGGTGAAAGCATGTAATTTCAATGCAGATCATCACAAATTCTGGAGCCATGTCCCAGAGCTCTAGACGTGGGGAAGAAACAAAACTACACTGAGGTACAGCTCACATCAAAAGATTTGATTTGAGTTATTGTTGTGATATGTACCTCAATACAGTCAAAGATTTGCATGCAATACAGGCAGATCATAACATACAAGGACGTACAGACAAAGCAAAGCATACAAGGTTGCACAGGGTGTGCACAAAAGCAAGATCAACATTAGATTTGAAATTAGAGAGGTCCATTCAGCAGTTTAACAACAGTGGGGAAGAAGCTGTTCTTGAGCCTGTCCTCAGGCATTTCAAATATACTTCTAAACTGGCCAAATAAACAAAACCTCAAGTATACTAAATACCATCATAAACCATTTTTTAAAATTAAATTAGAGCATCATGTTGATTTTACTTGAGAGTTATGTTACATACTCAGATTGCTTGAACGCACTATTTCCAAGTCAAAATCAACTCATTCTTCCCCATCCAAAGGTTACGTATTACAGTTTGCTTACACTAGGTAATACTAAGATGCTACTTATAAATAAAAGAAAAACATTCATAGGACCATTATATTATCTAAATATCAAAAAATAATCACTGATAAAGCAGATTGCCTTTTGGCTCATCAATTCTATGTCTCTTTGATGACTTTTGCTCCATAATCCTTTAAAATGCTTTCCCTCCAAGAATTTATGCAATTTCCCCTGGAACGTTAGCGCAGTATCTATTGTCACCATGCTTTCAGAAAACGCATTTAAGATCTCAAAATCTTGAAGTTTAAAATGAAATTTTATGTTTTACAAAAGGCAAAGTACCGTGTATGTTGTAAATCTGAAATAAGAATAAAAACGCTGGAGAAACTCAGTCAGTCAAGGCAGCATCTGTGCAGACAAACAAAATTAATTCTTCAGATGATAATCTTTCATTGGAACAGTGCTGCATTTTATCTTTATTTTTCTGACCAAATTGGTCTTGACCCATGCCCTTCTGCCACTGACAGCAATATCTTATTTGCTCTAACTTGTACATGATTTTGAACACCTCTAAAGTAAGCCATTTCCCTTCCCTGTGCATTTTTATCCCCAAAAAGGATTTCAGGTTGCCTACAGAAAAACAAAAATAAGTAATTAGGAGACTTGGTCAACTGCACAACTGCAATGAAATAGAAATTTCAAATAACTTGTGAAGAAATTTGAAACATCTCTGGTACTTGAGATCAATTCAATCCAGCTCCTAATTTTATATTCTTAAAAATATTTCTGCAGTGGAGGAGTACTTTTTTGTCCTGAATATCACAAAAAGGTGAGCAATGAAATCAGCAATTGCAAATAACAGGATCTCTAGGCAAAGTTAATCAGAATCGAGCATGTGAAACCATTCCAATTTGCTGGCCACAAAGAATTGCTTCAATATGATTCTTCTCCCATTGTACCAGAACTAATGTTCATGCAGTTATCTGCAGAGGCAGAGAAGATATATTTTAATGCCTAACAGATCAATGTCATCATAAATAAATGGATCCACTATATTAAATGCAGGAAACGAAGATCAATATCGTACGCAGTTCTGTGTTCCGAACATTTACTAGTAATCTTCACCTATCCATATTCATACTTGTCTGTTTCTAAGAGTTCCGGCATTCTACAGGAATTGGTTCATATTTATTTTTAAGTCAATAAATACCAGCTGGTGACATGACTCTGTGACAACAGTGGCAAGTCCAATCCTGTCCTCAGCAGAGATCTCAACAATCAAATTCCAGAAGGGATTGATGGATTCAACAGTGATATGGAACAGCAACTGTGGCCACTACCAGAGAAAAAAAATCAAGTTCTATTGCTGCCTTGTACAGTTCAGAAAGCAGATTAGGCCAGGAAATCTAACCTGTGAAAGTTTCTGGTCTATATGCCTCATTGCAGTTATCAGCTAAACCTCAGACAAAAGATCCTTATCTTTTGTTCTGAATTAGAGAAATATTTTAGACTGCTGTAAATATCTCCCTCTGATCTAAAGCTGAAAACTCTTGCCAGAGAATGGCCAGTAATTCATCCAAATAGCTCCTCTAAATGTGAAACGAAACCAGAACAATGAAACCCATTGGATTCAATAGGGACACTGCAACTGCATACAAATTTCAACCATACCAAAAGCAGGAATTATGGTTGATTTCTCTCTCTTCACTTTAGAATGGAAAGATCTAATCACTAAGACTTTTCCAAACTATTTCCATATCCAGAAACTGCAATGAAGGTTTATTACAAGTTAAATTTGGGAAATTAGGTATAAATTGGAGGAAAAATTATTTTACTTTTCAATGCTGTTAAGGTTGTCTTGTTTGTTTTTGAATAAGGGTCAAAACATCATTTCTGAACAGCTAGTTTAAAACAGCATTTCCAAGAAATAGTCTGACATTTATTAAATATTTAGATTCCTTTCTATGTAACCTCATTCCGAGTCCCTTGCAAGCAGTAAAATAACATGACAATAACATTTCAAGTAAATATAAGTATGGGGGAGAGCCATTCACTCATTTACCCATGACAATTCCTTGACCAGAGTCAGCTTCCTTGTTTTGTTAACTGTTTGCATTTGGTACATTCGCGATGGCAACACCTCTACCAATCAAAATCCACTTGTCAATGAATCTGCATCTTCTCATGCAGTATAAATAGTTGTTCACTTTGTGATTTGGTACTCTTGTGATTCTGTCCTGATGAGTTCAACACACTGCTTTTATAATTTTTAAAAAAAAGTTTTTCCTCATTTATTCATGAACTATCTTGGGGATGTGGTTTTCATTTAAGCTATTCTATAAAGTTGCTAATGTTAAAACCATAAATTCATACAATTATAGATACAAAAATACAAATTGATTAACTGCAATTAAAATAAATCTCATACTACCTTTTACATATATTACAGTTTCTAAACTAGAAGTTATTTTGCCTCAATATAATCACAAAATAGTAATTTGACATGCTTATTCCTATGCAACACAGGTATTTGAAAACATGCACAATATCTTCTAAAATTAAAACCAATAAGACTAAGTTCTGAGTTACAAGCCTACAAGAGTGGGGCTCATGGAGCAACAAGATTAAAAAAAAACTGTTCAAATTAAACTCTGTATCAGTAACTGAGACAAAAAGATTTGCATAACAGGATACAGTACATCTGTATATAGATATTGCTATGTAGTTTGCTTACAGTCTCAAAGATGGCAAACCTCAAACTCATTTATTTTTAAAGATTTGATCTGAATACTAGAGTAGAAAGGAGGAACATACATTTTAACTGGATCTTTCTATATGAGCTTTAAAATCAGAACATTACATTACATTATAGAAACAGTTCAATGGCGATAACTGCACAAATTTAGTCTAATTCCAACCTTCTGTTCATCCCCTGTAACTTGCAACTCATGGCCCTAACAAGTATCTACTTATGTTTGGTAATGACCCATGTACTTAACAAAAACTATTTTCTTTTAATGTAATTTCTCTTACTGAGTGCATTGTCTCCTTTAAAACTGAGGTAGACCGGGAGCATTCTTAAAAGGTTTCCAATTATGACATCATCAGGATCAAGAAACGCTCATGGAACCTGAAGTTGCCCTCAGGATAAACAATGAAGGAAAAGGTAAGTGAAGATTAACTGCAGATGTATTAACTTTTACAGCAGGTCTTTATGGTATATAGTCCAGAACACAATATTTTTCTGTAAAGAGGAAACGAGCAATATTTTCCCTGAATGGAACACGTCCTGGCGTTGAAGTAGGTCTGTCTGTTTTAGCATGTGTTACACATCAGAGCCAGGAAGGGCAGGAGATTGTGAATTTGACAAGACTAATTGTTGCTGTTTCACTGTTGCCACAGCCATGAGACCTTTTTGAGTCAGAGAAGGGAGACTCTGGAGATTCCAGGCCATCTGGACTGTTGTGACAAGAGTGACAGAGTTTGTGGTTGTGTACCTTGTTGGTGTTAATTTAACTGCTGGTGAAAATAACTCAAGATCCCCAATCTCCCATACTTAACTTATCCAATAATACAAACAGGACAAAAAAAAAATGAAAAAAATGGAATGATACCAAAATTTATTCTGCCTGTGTAAGCACTACTTTCAGTTCTTATTTCTTTGACTTATCTGCGTGGTCAAAGTAGGTGGGGAGCCCTGGGGAACTGCCATGTCTGATGAACTGCAAGCCAGAGGAAGTCAGAGCAATGGCAATTATTTTTAAAGACGTCCGAGCAAAAACAAGCAGGTTTTGTGAGTTAGCAGACAAAGGAACAATACTGAAACAGTGAATCCACAGAGAACGCCCAAAACTAGATTAATTATGTATGAAAAGCTAAACTTCAGATGAAGTGAGCCATTTGTTCCATCAATTTGAAGTCACAGAAGGGAGACCCGGATGTTCCATGCCATCTGGACAATTGTGGCTAGAGTAGAGTTAGTTTGTGACTCTGTACCTTATCAGTGTTAACTGAATCTGGCAAGGAACAAAGATATTCATTAATAAACATTGATAGAAGTATAACTTACTGTAAATTTTGCCCTTTCTTCCATTACTTCATATCCCAACATAGTAGGTGTAGGAGGTCTCTCTTCCCAGTTTGCTGATTCAGTCTCTTTTTCAGATTCCACTGGTTTGGAAGAATATTCAATAGATGTGTTTGCACCATTGAGCTTAGTTCGTAGCAAAGGACTATTATTTGTTGAGTTTGTGGAAGCTAGGTGCTCAGATGTAACTGTTTTTCGAAATCCACCAGAATGCACATCACTAATTTGACCTTTCGAAGAATTTGAACCGGTGGATACACTGTCCAAAGACTGAAGTGAAGAACTCCTCCGACTTCTACTTGTAGCTGTTCCAGAAGTCCCAACTGGTATGGGGACAGGGACAAACGAAGTGGTCATCCTTCAACTGGCACACTTGCTGGAACCAGTTTCTTCCTGCCAGGCATAAGAGAAGGCAAATGAAGTTGACCTTTCAACCTACAAAATTGAGGCAAAAAATAATAAAGCATTATTAATTTCTGATATATGAAACATTATACTGCAAGTATCCAACGGCAAACTAACTAAAATTGTACTGATTTCATAGAGGCCTAAAAGAACAGATAACAAACCTACCAGCGTCCATCCACATATAACCATTTTCAATAATCAATAATCCTTAGGATTAAAACAAATGTTATTTTGGCATTTTATATATAGTTACAAGACTAAGCTTTCTTTTCTACAACTAATGCTAAATGTGATGGAGACACAAGCATTAGACTAGTCCCTGGCATTAGATTGTAAGTTAGGAGGAACATGGGAATTTTTGGTCTCAAAAAGCCATGTCTCAGACATGTAGAAGTAACAATGACACTTAGAATCAGTAAGGTGAAACTGAAATTATACACTTTGCTACACCCAAGAACAAATACCAGAAAGTACTACGCACGTAGCAATACAATACTGAAAGCAACTCTTGAGCTTGGTGATTTAAGTCAGAGCATCAGATACGTTTTGCTATCTGCTTCTTCAATGTAAGAGTGTGGTTGGTTGAAAATCTTGCGACAATACATGAACAGTAAAACAACTATTGTAGCTCAAGAGTAGCCACTGAATTAATGTAACTATGCTATTAATAAACTTATGCACAAACAGCAGGAAAATAGCGAAGGAATCTGATTCTAAGTCACTTTCCCCAACTCCTTTGCTGAAGGCTGTTTAAACTACTTTTCACAGGTAACTTGTCAGCATTTTTCATAATGAATCTCTGCTGTTGTAGAAATGTATGTAACAACATACTTCTCCACAGTAAGACAGGATGGTGACATATCCAACATTTACACCCTCAAGTAGTGATAATTTACTTCTTAACAAATCATAATGAGATAAACCAGACCTACAAACAAAGCAGCAAATTGGGTAACGTGCCAGGTTATTTTTCAGTTTTCAAAGCACTCTCATTTACAGCTATCCTTTTGTCACCTCAGTATATTCCAAAGTGCTTCACAGTCTATGAACCTGTTTTAACATGTTGTAATTTAGGAAATGCGGGAAACATCTTATACACAGCAAGCTCCAGAACCAGATGATCTACTTTGGTAATGTCATCTGAGGAATAAATATCAACAGTTACTCTTGCCAATGGTGGAACGGTATAGACTACAGCCTTAACTGCAGGAGCAGAGAAAGCATGAAAAGGGTAGGCCATCGCCAGCTCTGGTTGAAACGTCTCAACAGAAAGACGGGGGCCTCTGGCACAACTGAATGGAAGCGTCGGTTTGGATTCAGTACTCACGTCTCAAAGAGGGGCTTGAGCCAACAACCTGCCAATGCAACTGAGAGAGTGCAACTAGTGAACCAAAACTGACAGCTTCAATATATCCACATTCGTGACTGAGCACCAAAGCGCATTTTCTCAGCAAGCCGTCCAAGTAGAGAAGCCCTCAGGACTTAAAACGGGAACATCAGCTTCCCCCCACCTGCATGAAACTCTTACACCACAAAGCCGTGTAAACAGATTCATCCACGCTAAAACTCTCGATAGTTAAATCCAGCCACCAAACATAAAATCCTTGCTATTTTTTCCCCTTATTAGTAAAGGACAGCCTAAATATAGGCCAATTAGGCTTGTTCCCAACCACAGGACCTGCGCATGTTTGTAAAACTAGAGGCGTTAACGTTTGTGTTTACATGGTGTTGAAGGTGAGTGTGCATTATAGTGTGTTTAAAGTCTACACTACACCGTATTGCTCAGTGGTATATACCTTCACTCTCGGATACAATCCTGCAAGTCATGAAGCCCTAATCCTGGGCGGACAGACATTAAACTCGGATCATCCAACCGCCGAAACAAAGCTTCTTTTATTTTCCGAATCCACCTCCAACTCACTGATCAGTTTCTACAAACGCCTTTCACTCTCGGTTGCACCTCCACTGTGAGGCCGCGGGTCAAAGCTCCGGGTCACCACGCTTCTGACTGAGCGGCGCGCGCGCGCGCGCCCCCGCCAACCCCCCCCCC